GCTCAGGTGGATGAAAGTCAACGCTCCGAATGCTCCCGAGGTTTTTCGCTGGCATGGATATCAGAAATGCGACATTGTTATTATTCAGACCACGGGATGTTTCGAATATGGTCTGATAGTGCGCGCCTTCGACGACGATGAACAGGGCATTTCATGCATTATAGCTTGGATCTATACCAGGCAGAGCGCCAAAAACCTATCCTTCTATTCTTGGCCTCCCGGTACAAAATACCTATTCAGCAATCACTTCCAGCTCATCAACTCCAAGTGCTTCGTCAGACGTGCCCGTTTGGAAGTCCGGAACGCCCTTCTCGATGACGACAACTACGATCGGGGAATCGATTTTAGCTCCAGGAAGCTCGTAAAATTCAAGAATACTGACAACTGCATTGTCGAAGCTCGGAGATCCATGGCACGACCATTCGCGAGCATACCACAAGAACTACAGGATATGGTGTTTGGGTACATTATTAACAGTGGGGACGGTAAGGACGGCACTGCTAAGGCAGGGCAGGCTGGGCCAAACTCATGGCCATCTTGGGGCGTCCGAAATGCTTCTAAGGAGTTTCGAACGCGTTATGATCTAGCGTATCAACGACAAGCCGATTGTCTGGCACGTCGATCCCACAAAATCATTAGAATGAGCTCGCAAGATCCTCTCGCCATGTCGTCTGCACTAGAGTAACTTTGGAAAAAATTGGCAGTGGCCAGACGTGCGGGTGCCGGCTCACAAACCCCGGTAGAAGGTGTGTTTGTGAGATGTGTGCAGGAGAGCGGAGTAGGGCTGAGGACACACCTGGGCTTCTACGACCAGCAGTGGAGCGAGCTGATAGGGTTGGGCGATTTGGCTAATGCGCCGCTCCAGAGCTATCCGGATCACAGTGTGTTGATGGCGTGGGCTATCTCGTACCAGACGACCCGCGTCTTGACTGTCAGGACCAGAGCGCCTGAAGCTAGCCTAGCTTGCCAAGGCACAGAGTATATAAGCCAGTCGTAAGAATCGCTACAACAGTAGCGATTCGTCTAAGTACAAATAGACCTTTTTGTGCCTGTTACGTACCATCCTACGCTACATAACCTGAGACCTCTTTACAATCCTAACATTGACCTGCTGCTTCTGTGGTCAGTCCTGGACAACAAGGATTCAAAGCACGGCTTGTTTGCTATAGCATACACGAGCCCTACTGTAGCTGCGACGATGCTGCTAGAGTGGATTGGGGAGATCAGGTTTGACCAGGCGATGCAGCTGCTACGTAGCAACTCGCTAGTCGACGAGGCGGCAGCCACAAGAGGCTATGCAACGCACCCAGTGCTTCATCAATGGGCATACTACTCGCGAATTAGGTACTTCGGGACAGAGCTGAATCGACTATCCATAATTGCTGTGGATTGGGGCGTACGAGGGAGCTCTACTGGCGTGCTCGAAGTGGATTGTACAGAAGGAGATGGTTCGGGTTCACGGGTGGATCTCAAATGTACTTCCTCCTCTACATTACAATAGCTTTACCACGATATCTGTACCATACGAGTTACTATCCTAGCAATACGTAACAAGCTTACGGACTCTTGTCAACAAACATGAACTCATCTTACAGAAGCTAGATCGGATAAGGTAAAGCGTGCGATAAGCGAGACAGGGGCAAGCGTGGGATAACATCTAAGCGGCGTGCAAGAAGCAGAAACTGCAAGCGCATGTGAGTGTAATCCGCCCAGTCTCTGCTAGACAATCAGGGACTGTGAGATGCTGCGTCGACGAGGACCGCTCAGCGCTGCGCGGTGCACTCTCATGCTGCGCAGCACCAGGCTTGGCATGCGCTCACCAGTCTGGGCGAGAGCATGGGCGTGCAGCAAGTCAGTCGGTCGGTCTTTTCCATGCACAGTTTTCGTGCGTTCAGAGTGTGCAGCCAAGCCCCCAGCTGTTGCCCAAAGTCGTCTTGATACTTTATGCAGGTATCCGATCGCGTTTCCGCCATGTCTCGTGCATCGTATAGCATAGAGACCATCGTCCGCCACGCCCTCCCAAGCACGGGATGCAGAAGTAAAGATAAGGATTCATTCTCAGGCGGCTGCCACTTCTACATCAATATCAAACGACTGGTACACATACAGATACCCGCCAGTCAACCAACGAGACCGCCGTTCTTATCAAACCTCATTCCTTTCTCCTCGAGCCTTTTATCGATGGCAGATTCTGCATCTCCAAACTCTTCCTCGAACGGGGTGTTGTAGCGATTGCAAATGAGCTTGACGTTGGCAGCACGCCGGAACTCCGAGCCACCGCAAACGACGACCTTCTTGGAACCCCTTTGCGCCCAGAGCCAGAGCTCCATCATGGTTAGAGGGCCTGTCGTGGTAACGTCGAGGAAGAAGCAAGCGACAGTGGCTTGCTCCATCGCTGTGGGCACCCGTTCGACCTAGCCTTTGGATTGCGGATTTTCGGCTTTGTATGTGACCTCCGAATGCGGACTTGGCGGTAGAGGAGGTAAGGAATCAAGTTCGTCCTTGATGGCTGGAACTGGATCTGTCAGACTTGTTGATGTGGGTAGCTGCGGTTGCTCGCGTGCTGGAGAAAGCGTAGGCTCCGCGCCGCCTGCCTTATCCTTCTTGTCCGTTGCTTTTGCTGCTGATTCCATCTCGGTGTCGAACTCGTACTATGTGTGGTGGTTGGCGAGCTTGTGTGCCTGGTTCCGCGAACGCAAGCGATTTGTGGTTCGCTCTAGGACAGGGCGGACTGGCGTAGACTAAGCAGGCCGCGAGGACAGGACGATGCTGTGGACTTGGGGAGCTATGTAGGCTAGATTCTTTGTCCTTTATGGTGTTCGCCGTCTCCACTTATGCGGGCGATGCAGAAGCGCAGCCATCTCCAGCAAAGCCACGAGTCAGCCTCGAAGACTGTGCAGCAAATTGCGCGTCTAGAGCTAATGCAAGGTCATCGTGACTAGATGGTGCAGCTGCTCTCATGCGTTGGGCTTGCACCCTTCTGATTGTCGCTGCTCAGACGAGCTCGACCCAGTCGCGAGTACGTGGCCTCGTCCATGTAAATACAGTATCATGAGAAAACGCGCTTGATTGTGGCCTCCCTTGTGCTGCGCGTCACCATGCGCAGTATACGCTCACGGAAATACCATGCCTATGACTTACCTCCAGGCGCACGCCACTTCGCATAAGCCCACCCTGCACGCGGATGCAAAACACTGTTTTGCTCAGCCCCCACCTTCCGTATGTAGTTAAGCGCTCACTGTCAAGAATAAAACAGCAATGCAATCAACAAGTTAGTCGTCGGCAAAACATAAGCTGGACCCCTGCCAGTGGATCGTCCTCAAATGATGTTGCTGCCTGCAGCAGCGGCGCTGCACGGCGCCGTGGACCCACCCTGCGCATGCCCAGACAGGAGTTGTCGCACGAGAAAACCTTAAATCGACTGCACGTTTGTGCACCCCGTGCTCTACTGTACGATGCAACAGCCTACAGTATCGCTCACAGCCTTACCTGGAGCGACCATAGAATGACAGCCAAGGTGCGTGCTCGACACAAGCGCTCTGTCGCGCGGTCGACTTCCGAGCACGTCTATGCAGGAGTATTGATTGCAGCCCACTCAGACCACTTGTGATGACACCAAGTGGACGGCCGAGGGTAGCAGGGAATGATGTGGGGTGCACCTCTCTTCACCGTGTCGAGTCATCGGGGCAAGTGCGGACTGCAGAGGGTCGGTACTGTACTGCTCAGGGCAGATAACGCATGTGAGCTATGCTCATGGCAGGGTGTTCGCCCTAGCGCTATGTGTAGTACGATATGGGTACTGTCCTGAGCTCTGACGAGCGCATGTCGCTCGAGGAGCCGCTCTTACAGTATACACTCAGTCCTGCAACTCAAACCGTGCCTCTTAAGCGGCCTCTAGGTAGATCTCGCTTGGTGCGTGCTTTGCGAAAGGGGCAGCGCCTCTGGCTCCGCCCTGCTCTCGAAGACGCAGAGTCGGTTCGCGGCGTAGCAGGCGACGTCGCAGTTCAGGTGCTCAGAGTGTCAGGAGTGAAGATCTGGATTGTTTGTAAGTGGTGCTATGGTTTGAGAGAAGTCGAAAGCTACTCGTAATACAAATGCTGGCGATGACACCACTCCGAACAAAATCAGTTGCAGCAAGGCTCTCAAGGATAGAATGTGTAGAAAGATTCATTGCGGTGCAATAACAAGGTCTCTGCGCCCGTAACCGTGATGGAATCATTTATTGTCCTGCAATGTAGTCTGGAAAGTGGCCACGGCATCAGAAGGACTGAAGCCGAATGACTGAAGAACCATCAAGTGCCACAAACCAAAGCTGAGCCGCCTCCTTAGTCTATTCAAGCCTCTATCCTCAGCATTGGACCTTGCCCCCACGTAGCATGTCCTCGTCCTCTCCATTAGAGGCCCGCTTGCGCTTCTTTCCCACCCGTCTATCTGGAGTGGTGTTTGGAGAGCTATCAACCCTACAACTATTGCTGTGGTCTGACACAGGACTGGTCGAGCGACAAAACGTTCGGCGTCCTGCTTCTGTGCCTCTGTCACCGCCGTCGTCGTCGAGCACTATGGGATTTTCGGAACTGCCGCTCGCACTCTCTGTCGTCTCTGTAATCGCCGCAGCAGAGCTATCCGGAAGTGCTTTGGCGCGTAGCGGCTCGAGCAGCAAACTTTGTCCAGGCATTGTATCCGGGACGACGTGAGCATGTCCAGCAGCATAGCCGTCTTCGTCTGGTATGGCTGAGCCGACTTGAGGGGTTGCCTCGTCTTCACCTTCGTCGTCTGTGTCGTATCTGGAAGCATACTCTCTGTCGGCCGGCACGCCCGAAGAGTCTCCATCGCCTGTTGGGAAAACCCCGTGCTGACATGTTCTGCATCTAGCGTCACAGTCTTCGTCGTCTGGCGCCCGACTGAGCTCGGTGGCGTGGGTGTGATGATTTGAGTACATCTCCTCGCATGTTCCATTGCCAGAGATGTCGAGACCCGGCCCGGAAAAACTCTTTTTTATCCACATACATTAGATCTTCGAAGAGTTGAAATGAACGAGCAGATTAACTTACCACCAAATGTCTTGTGTTCTGCCTATATGTGAAGAAGAAGAAAATCGTTTCCGGCATCTTTTGTGACTGGCTGAATGAGCCCTAGGCGAGAGAGAAGGAAGAAGCGAGTATGGCAGCTTGACAATTCTGTTGATAATTCACCATGGCTTTTATGCTCTCCTGTTTGCTTCGCAGCGCCGGAAGTTTCATCTCCTCACACCACCTCTGACATCACCACCTACAGGCCTTGCCGTCGCCTCCGCCAATCGACTATTCTCATCGGCCACGCATAAAGAGCGCAGCATCATTGTCCACGCTCTAGACTCGTAGCTGTTCGAGTACCAGGATGCTGCTACCGTCTACCCCGTCAAGTGTGCGACAGCATGAACATCTCCACCGATCGAGCAACATGCCAGAGCTCGTCCCAGTGCTCCGATAGGGTCGACGGGCCTGAGTCTGCCTTGCGTGTTGAAGCCGCTGGGGCAGCTGAGGTTGGCGAGAAGAATAGCTGTGGCAGATCGTGGTCTCATGTCAGCTGGAGGTTGCTCCATCAATGCATCTTGCTGCGCAGGGATTCTCTCCAAAGCCTTCCAGCTTGTTCGTCCTTGGATCGTGGGGTGCGTTACAGCATGATGGGCCGATGAACCTCAAAGGAAGGCTCTCACAGGACGGATAATTGGGCTGAGGGTCGCACGACCAGCTTGTTCGGAGCGCGTAAACGACCAAGCCATCAGTAGGCATAGCTCGTTGAGGACAGCATGAGGCTTCGTACGCCTCACCCTGATCATGCTTCGCTGTCTGCATGGTCGGCAGCATACGCGCCGGCCAAGCGCGGACGCCCAGACGGATGTTGATCGTCTGTGGTAGCAGAAGACTTGACAAGTCTATCCGGCACCTGTTTCAAATCGAGCTTGCTGTAGCTCAGCCGCACCCTCCTCTTGCATGTGACAGGTGTTTGAAGCTACGCCCTTCTCTCCCTGTCCTCCGCGTGGCTATACGGCCATGGCGGTGGTGTCCGAAACAAGCCAAAGTAAGATACATGTCCCGATGGGCAACACAGACGAGACCAGTCTATTTGAGTTCTAGTGGAAACCAATCTAGAGCGCCTTCACGTTAGACAGATTCGGGCCATCATGCGTAGAATGGACTACTCAATTGAACTCACCTGTATATCTAGCATCCACTATCACTAGAAATGGGCGCGGTATCGCTCAGGTTCCGATAGAATTCCATAGAAAGATCTAAGCAGATACCGTGATAGAGGATCTAGATTCATTGCGGTCTTTGGCTTCTGCAACGTTGGATAGCCCCGTTTTGATACTCGCCCCTCAACACTTGAGGGTGCCACCATGTAGAAAGATCTTGTCTGTAGAGTAACAAAGCTTCGTTGTAGGTCCTTACGGTTGCGTCTATTCTTGTGACAGCGTATCCTTAGATGCTGCAGACAAGGCTCGTACATCGATCATGATAGAGTCCCACTGGATGTCGTTTCCCAGCTCTGCAAGTCTACCGCATGAACCAGACGTCAGATCAGAATTAGTGTGTCGGCGGCCTGAAAACGTATAAACATCGGCGAATGCCCCCAGGTACTCCATCGTTCTTCCAACTCACTTCCAACTCACATCCATCCCACACTATGCCAGAGACTTGTTCCTCCTACACCCACCGTGGACAAACGAAGCGCGTACCATCAGTGCGACGTTCACCGGCCAAGAGCTCACCCGCGCCAGAAAACATGCCCTCTCCACCTTTTAGCAACGACGACAACCCGCGCCCAGCAAAGAGGAGGAAGACGGTGGAGCCCAAGGAGCGTACGGCAGAGTACCTGGACCTCTCAGGGCCTAGTGTGAAAGAAAATGAGCTACCACAGCTGCAGCGCTTACTGAGCGTTCTGCAAAAGAAGCGCAAGATTGTGGTTATCGCAGGTGCAGGCATCTCGGTTTCGGCTGGCATTCCCGATTTCCGATCTGCTACGGGCCTGTTCAACACGCTCAAGAAGGAACACAAGCTCAAGTCCTCTGGCAAAGACCTCTTCGATGCGTCTGTCTACCAGGATGACGAGTCCACATCGGCATTCCACGACATGGTGCGCACACTGTCACAGCACGCTAAATCTGCGCAGCCTACCGCCTTCCACCTTCTTCTCGCGACCCTGGCTCAGGAAGGGCGCCTAATGAGACTTTACACCCAGAACGTCGACGGCATTGACACTTCACTACCCCCTCTCAGTACCCAAGTCCCTCTGCCTAAGAAAGGACCATGGCCCAAGACTGTCCAGGTGCACGGTAGTTTAGATTACATGGTGTGCTCCAAATGCCATGCGGTGACGGATTTCGATGCCGAGCAATTCAATGGGCCTAGCCCACCTCCCTGCCCAAGCTGTGTAGAGAACGATGAGATCCGTCAGTTTGCAGACAAGCGAAGCCACGGCATTGGTCGGTTGCGTCCTCGCATGGTCCTTTACAACGAACACAACCCTGACGATGAGTCGATCGGTTCTTGCGCAGCTTATGACATGCGCATGAGACCAGACGCTGTTATCGTGGCTGGCACCACGTTGAAGGTACCCGGTGTGCGACGCATAGCTCGCGAGATGTGCAACATCGTTCGCGACCGAAAGGACGGAGTCACAGTATGGCTGAACAACGATCCCGAGCCGATGGGTAAAGATCTCGAGGACAAGTGGGATTTGGTAGTAAAGGGACCCTGTGATGAAGTCGCGGGTCATGCCAACATGCGGCGATGGGACGACCCGGTGGACGACGAGACAGCTGCAGACGAGGACCTGAACAAGACCAGTGAGAAGCAGAGAGTAGAAGTTATCATTGACACTCTTCGAAAATCTGGTGTGCTCCGCAATGCAGGCCAGCTCACACCCGGACAAAGCCCACGCATACTCCCACTCTCATTCAACGACGGGAATCCAGATACTCCCCCAAAGAACGGCACAAAGAGAAAGGCAGATGTGCAAATAGATTTGTTTCGTAACGTCGCAACCAATGCACGGCCAACACAGACGACGGCAGCACGTAAGAGCAAGGCGAAGAGGGAGTCCATGACAAAGGCCTCCACCATCAACAATGTCTTCAAGGTTACCAAGTGTATCAAGGGCGGGTCTGAGGTTCCTCTCTACGGGAAAATAAGGCCTAGATGCTAAGAAGATGGCAGCACAATTCGAATGAGATACTTCAGATGATGTAAATCACAGTCACCGTTGTCCTCCTAGATTCACACTATCGTTGCAATGCTCATTACTGCCTATGGAGCTTCTTTCCCATGTTCGCGTCTAAGTCTTCGGCATCTGTCCTCGGCTTCGCTCACGCGTGGTAGGGAAAGAGCATGTAGTTTATCCTCTGCAGGCACTCGTTGTCGCCCCAGATGGATGTTTGCCCTCGGAATTTTGTTTCCCCTTAGTAACTACGTATCCCGGCCATTACAGTCGAGACAGCAGCCCGCTAACCTCTGCTTTCTATTGCCAGCCATAGGTTTTGGGTGCCAGTGTGCGGCCTACGACGTTAGTAGAAGACTCTTGGATACGGCAGCATCACTTACCCTGCTGGATATTTACATGGCGGGCACACAACGTCATGTTACGCCAGACTCTGGCATCATCCTGCCTGTCGCAAGGATGATACCAAACGGCTTGCAGTCTCGCTGACTTGTGCGTACGAAAAAGATGCGCCAGGCGCGCACGATTCGATTTCTGCAATCGCTTCCTGGATCGGCCCTATATTGGTGGAGTTGTGATGCGATCTGTATAGGTAATTGTTGTGGTGGAGTGTTCATTGCGCGAACTGGGTCATTGAGCGCACGGACACGGTGCATCCTGAAGCATCAACGCCACGCTGACTCATATGCACCGACCTCAACCTCAACCTCAACCCATGCCATCACGTCAAAGTACTCGGCTTGCAGGCCTGTCGGAAAATGCAGCTGGTCGAGTCACGTTGCGGCAACCGCTGTGCCAAAAAGCGCCTAGGAACAATACCAACCTAGGGACTGCTGACCTTGCTGACCTTGCTGACCGAGTGCCGTGCTCGGCAACAGCGGTCGCACCTTGGCCCGCTCAAGCCTCATCATGCAGCGGACACCGAGTCACTTTGGGAGGCCAGTAGACCACGAATTACGACGTACCATGTTATGCTCAGCTGCTATGATTTGTGTTCTAGAGATTGCAATAAACAAGAGGCGTGAACAGGATGGAATTGGACTTCTCATGCACCTAGTTTCATTTCAGTAGGCTTCTCCAATCTGCACTTCATGACCCTCCTCGCGGGTGCATCCTCGACAAGCCTGCAAGACCTCAGCCGTTTCCGTATAGCGGGAGGCGACTGCGGGTCATGACTAAGCCTGGCCTCAAATAAGACCTGGATCTCCGCCCGGAGCCCGTCTAGCTTCTGATCCTGCGTCTTCAGCAGCTCCAGTACCCGTGCGTGATTCTCCTCCAGGACCCTGGTCTTGGCCTTGAGCTCCAGGTTCTCAGCCTCCGTCTCCTCGAGGGTTTGCTTTTGGAGCTGCAAGACGCTCTCGTAGTTGGGGATCAGCTCTTTTAGGTAGTAAGTGTTGGTTCGCGCTAAGCTGTCGTTCTCGAGCTGCAGTTTCTTGTACCCCGCTACGCTCTGCTGTAGCTTCCGCTGCTCAGAGCGGTACGCTTCCTCAAACTTTGCGTCCCCAAGGAGTCTTTGCATCTGCTGGCCGATACTCTCGAACTGTCCGCCAATCGCGACCAGAATAGCTGTCTGCTCGACCTGCACACGTCAGCGAGGCACAGTGGGATTGAACAGGCTTCCAGCCCACCTGCTCCGTCTCTTCCTTGATCTGTGGGGCTGGCTGGTAGGACGACATGGTGCGAGCTCTGGGTTAGGTATGCGTCTTGGGCAGATGCTCGCCGACGGTCTTTTAAGACAGGGCAGATCTATCTTTGGCTCTGAACTGCTAACATAGATGCGCAGCAGGGCATCCTGCTGTCTGAGCCCTGCAATGGGCCCGAATAGTATGCGCTGTGGTCTACGTTGCGTAGGCTAAGATTAGCATGCCGCGGGGCACAGCATGTCAGGAAAAGACACAGCCAGAGGGCCTTGTCCACATTACTTATCCTCAGCTGCTCCCTTCTCTGCATGCAAGCACACAAGCACGTCCTCAAGGAGAGTACCGGAGTTCTAGGGACATCCTGTATCCCTACAGTACCAACCCCCATAGCGCTGCCATACGCACACGCTTCCGAACATACCACGCAAGCTGAGCCCGTCCGGCACGTCCTTCCAAGCCGATCGGGTTGCGTCGGCCAACTGCTTGCGAGACTGTGGGCTTGCGGCCGGAAGTACCGACGCGAAGCAGGACTTAGATGTCGAGATCATGGCTGTTGAAGAACGACTTGTCCAGCTCGCGCAGAGTTCCGGTCGCTTGCAGAACGAGTAGGTCTACTAGGAAGAAGGTCCAGGGGGCTGCTAACCGTGTCTCCGCAAGCTCGCGCAAGACAGGGCGCTGGCTGCTGTATGCCTCGGTGCCTCCTCGCGTGTGTGTTACGGTGAGTACCAAACCTTTTCACGACCTCTCTGTATGGGAAAGTCTCGCCTGGCTTGTGCGAATCGATTACAATCATACCGTACACCAAAGCACAAATGCAATGACCATGACGAAAAACAGTCAGATAACAGCCAGGGCTAAAGGCAACAAAGCGTTGATTGACGACGGTGACGGAACAATCGATAGCACGGCTAAAAAAGCAGCGATTCATGTCGGACGCTGGTATTCTCAAGGAGCAATTACCATTCAGTTATGATAGATTAAAGCTAGCCTTACGAAATTGCGAATGGGGGGCGCCGAAGGCACAAAGTGCGAACTTGTCTCGCGGCACAGTGCGTCTCTTCACCTAGAGACGCACCTTGGTAAGTTTACCCTGTCTAGGATTAGCTGCGCCTCCAATATCCTAAGTTCCAGGGGGATGATGGATATGCCGCCTCCCATGTACGCCCATACGTGTCCTGTGACAATATCGCTACTCAGGGATGTGCGACGTCCGCCCTTTTCTTTCATCTCATAAACTAACTATGCGCAGCAGTGCCGAGTCTGCTGTAGTTACTTATGTTGTTCTCTTTGTCAGTTTTACACCGCTCTGTGAGGCTGGATCCAGTTTATTGTTCCATCAGTTGCTGGCTGCTGTGTCCTTGCCAAGATTAAATTCTACGGACCTTTCCAATATTAGAAAGTATGTCACGCAAGCGGTCACGCATGGACTTTCTCTTCTGAAGCAAACAAGGACGAGCTTCAGCTGCACTATCATGTGTAGCCGATCGTAATGCCGTCGGCACTCCAGCTTGGCAATAGGGAACCCACTTACATCCCTGGTTTGCTCCATACCCGTGCATCGCAGAACACAGTGGTTTCCAACCCTTATCATGGCTTGTGGGAGACGTGCGCAGCTTGCATAAGGATTCACGCGGCGGTATCGTGTATGGCTCCAAGGGAGGAGCCGTATCCTAGAGGGTGGGGACGTGTCAGGTGCAATAGAGGTGGAACACCGCATCAGACTGCACAGCCTTTCCCGCCCCCCCTCTCCAATGAACAGCGGTAACAAGGAGCGCTGAAGCATCGGTCGTGCCTCATTCATGCGCTACATCTGTCGGTGCTGGGCGTCGAACACTCAGAGCCAACGTGCTCGGCACGCGAGGCATGTGAATTCCTGGATGTAGTATATGAGTGGGTGCCTTCCCGTGTAGATGCTGCGCAGATCCTCTTTCTTCGATATGGCTTTTCTCCTTACTGGTTTTACTGTTTGCTTTTCGGTTGAACTCCTACTGAGCGTGGTGCTCATATATCACGGTGTCCGGTATCACAAGCCGTCTGCTTTCCTCAGCTTCCTTCAAGCATGCCTGTCTATAGCTGGTATAACTGCAATTGTGTTTGCGCTTCTCTCTAAAGATAAGTTGTACTTGGTCGACATGGCTGTACGATGCAACCTCCATCTTTCCACCGGCACAAATGTAAGAAAATCCAAGTAAACTCTTCGGACCTGCTAATTCATGGGATAACCAGCTCGTTCGAATCCTACGTGCCTTACCTTTTGCATCTTGGGCTATGTGGTTTACATATGCGACTATGTTTTTGACGGCTCTGGTTAACATACGGCCTAAGAGGTAGGACATATGGCTCCCATCATCCGATTTGACTAGCTAAAATAGAAGTAGCAGTGGTGACTCTGCCTACGACTCAGGGCCGCTTTATTTTTTTGCAGCAACTTCACTCCTATCCTCGATAGTGTCATCTGTACGGCTAATAGAAGATACAACATCCGAATCGGGACAAGACGGAATGCGATGCAAGCATTTGTTGATCGTTTTCATAATCACCAACGCAATCGCCGGGTCATTCCAATTGGGCGGAGCGTACGCCATTTCTATTGGATTGCTCATCGATAGCAAGATGAGTACAAGCCTCCCCCAGCCAATCCTTCTGGTAGGTCTTAATCATCGTTGTTGCGAAATGCGATCTGACTGCGGACAGGCTTGCACAGTAACACAGTTACTGTGTCCTCTCGCTTTTGCTTGTCTATGGTTAAGAGCCGAATCATCGAATCTCTCAAAACTCGAAAGTGCAGGGTACAATCAAAAGAATATAATTCGTGGCAATATGGAGGGTGCGAAAAGACTGAACAGCCTAGAGGACGATACAATCTCTCAATGTTGATATGTCTAGGGGCCTGGGAAGATGCTTTCCAACGGAAATGGCTGAGGCATAGGAACGTGGGCCTAGTCGCAGCTTTTTTCCTCTTTGACGTGAACCGCGGGCGGGAAAGCGTCCAGAAATGGAAGGCGAGGGAGGTAGTAGCAAGGATCCCACTGATATTTGATGGAAGAATACTACAAGGCCTATCGTGTCGGCAGAATTTACTGTGGAATCAACAATCACGCTTGGAACCTGCAACCTCACGAGTCCTCCCCAAGAGTGGCGATGTTGCATAGTGTCCCAACCTGTTCGTGCATAAACTTTACGCCTCCCGCGGGAAGAGGCCCTGTCGCTGGTACGCTGTGGCGCTACAACATTCATGCCGACGAAAGCTGTCTGCCTTGCCGTTCAGACTCGCCGAATCTTTCCTTCGACCGGAAAACTCCGACCTCGACTGGGCACCAGCAGCGAACTACACGAGCGGAGCAGCTCCATAATCCATATCTCATAGTGTCAAGACATTCATGCAAAGAAAGGGCGTGTGCATTGTGAGGACATTCATTGGCCCCTTCACTCGATGAAAAATACTCTGGCAGGAGCTATCCAAGTCACTAGCGGCATCGAAATCACGCACACAACGCCCCAGATCTCCCTGGGCACACGATTCGATAGGACGGGAATGTCCGATTTGACCGACAAAGAGCGGGGATGGAAGCAGGGCCGCATGGCCGTGTCTCACTACGCCTGAAGAAGCCGCTGGTGGAGCATCGAAGTGCTTCCTGTTGCCTTGATAGGGACCGTGGCGCCGTAGCAGAGGAGGATGGGACCGTGTGAGCTTTACGAATAGATTAGCAATAGCACATGTCTATAAGTGTACTGGAATATAAGAGCAGTGGCTTTTTTACCTTTTGTCCGTACAACATGGATCCACAAGACTAGACCGCTTCCTTTGCCTAGAGTTTCACGACTCTGGAGTTGTAGCTCCTCTTGCATCACCAGGGACCTGTCCGTCGCTCTGCCTCAGCTTCCAGGCGCCCACGGCGCTTACAGAAGCGGGGCTCAGTCGTGGCATAGATATCTTGCTATCGCCTGTAGCGCGCTCGGGTGCGTTGCGCGATGTCGTTGAGCAGTACGCCAGGCGATACCTACGTGGCCAGTTTTGCAGGAAAGACCTCGTTCAGGAGCTGATATCTTAATATGCTATCGGGAGCAAGAGCACTGTCTTCGATAACCACTCTTATCCCACGCTGACGCTAGGCAACGTATACCCGGCCATAGAGCTGATCTACTCGGTGAGCAGCGGCGGAACCAAGACTCGAAGCCATACCATCATCAAGACCGCAGGTAGCTGATAGCTCACGCAGCCTCAGCGCTGGCCTGTAGGGTGACGATGCTGGTGGGGCAGTGGGCGGATGCACGGACGATGGTGAAATCCTTTGAAGTCTAGCTCAACACTAGTGCATGTGAAATGTAGGAGTGAGTGTGAGGTGTAGGGCAGATACAAGCAGCACACAGCACGCAGTCTTGCTTGGTCCCGCCGAGGCTGTACGATCGCCGTTTTGCGGGTCGCACGACAGTCACATAGTCACATAGATCGGCTCATCTCGCGGATGTGCATGAAGAATGGCCTTGATTTATCTAAAGGTTCGATCGATTGTCGTTGTAAGACAACACCTGACTACTGGGTCGAGCCATTTCAGTAACATCTCTCTACACACCTTTCGCTCTGCATTGCTCTCATCCTGCTTCTCTTATTTACCGTCGACTTCAACCTTCCAGCCCACGGTTTCAGCAAGCTGGTGAGACGCGTCGGCGACGAAGTTGAAAGCCTGCCCTGAAGAACTGCGCTGTGTTAATTGCAGGCGACTGCGAACAGGGCTATGTCTCATCTTACGAGGTAGTTGCTGCGAGAATCTCACGATTGCGAGTATACCTGTCCGCTTCCGGCTCTTCCACTATCGGAGCAAGCGGAGATGGCATCAGCTGTTGCACGTCTAGCAGGCTGCGGATGTGGTGGAAATCGCGGGTCGGCAGGACTACGTTGTTGTCGCGGTAACTCATGGCTGTACTGACTTTCGGCAGATGCAAGTCCAAAGCGTTGAGACAGCCTTTATACATGGTGCTCTGTGACCGGTCTAGGCGGTGAAGAGAGAGCACCCGTCACCGGCTGCGTGGAAATGGCAACCTGAGATCATGAGCAAGCATGACGTTAGCAACCACTCGGCATGCTGTGACGATGTGAGACATCGCATCCACTGACCTGAGACCAAGCACTCGTCTACGGCTCGACTTCCATTTTCATGCAAGATGCTGCACTAATCACACCCTTGTAAAAGGAGTGCTGCAATACTAATCAAGCTAGAAGGTAAGAATCAGTCATCAGCGAGGAGTGCTGCAAGCAAGTAGTCCGTCTTCACAGGCACGGCTTCCGGCTAGCTGTCTGTACTTCGACACTCGCGCTATGCTATCTGTGCTGACGCAGCGTCCGCATCGCAGTTTTGGATACGAGTTCAGCCTGTCACCCTGGGCCATCTCTCTTCATCATGATGGTCTTGTCACGAGGCACCTGTGTCGAGACCGTCTCACTCCAACAAGCGGCACTGGTCCTCAAGAGCTGTCGCGGCCAGATGCGCGCAGCTCAGCTACTGCCGGACTCGTAGTGTACACTAAGAAGAAATCCATCCGTGCCCTTCATTCAGCAGTCCGATGATAGTTGCGCTAGAAAGCTACTGTTTTGGATCTCGTCATTGCACTGCCGTGTATCGTTTACAGCTGGCGGGATGAATCTCACAGGGTCGTTCGCAAAGACGAGCGGCGAACGTACTGCACAATGTCACTGGAGTAGTCGGAAGGGTAAGGTGCACTGCTGTGACGGCGAGAATACCACTACGACTGAGATACAGCCCGTGAGAATATATTGTCTAACGACTACCAACGCGTGACATCTATACTGGTCCAGCACAACGAAAGACGCAGTTGACCCAGCGTAGATATGCTGTCGAACGGACGAGCGTGAGCAGCCAAGCAGGTGCGATCCTCGCTTGGGCGGGAGCTAGACGGTCGGTTCTTTCGCTCAAGACGCAATCTGAATTTGTCGCTGGCCCAGCGTCGGGTGCTGCAGATCAGTCGTGCAAGTCACAGCTAGCTCGTCCGACATCAGGAGGCGTTCTCTCTCGTCTACGACCAGCTCGGTCCGGATGAACGAGCAGCGTCGTCGCAGGAGGTGGGTAGCAGCGGTCCTTGCCAAAGCTCAATCGTTGTGGTCATCGCAAAGCAAGGAGGTACTCACAAGGGCTGCTCGGTCTGGAGGTGACCACGGCCTGCGGCCTGTCGCGTCCGCGGATGCGCATTCGACAATACGGCCATTGCGCCGTGCCACGAAGTAGATATCGGCATTGTATATCTCGTTGAGCTTCCTCAGCTTCGAGTATAGTGTCTTGATCAGTCTCTGGTAGTTGTTGTTCGCGGTTCTTCTAGCCTTGGCGCGGGCCAGTTTCTGCGCCTGCTGCTGAGATGCCATGGAGATGGAACGGCGAATGAAGCAGAGGTCTCAAATGTCGGGTCCTCTCCTGTACGGGCAACGACAGCAGGCCGCGCGGATGTAATGGTGGAGTGGAGTCTGACTTGTCCCAACAGTCTGCTTCAAGCTGTAGGGAGGCGAAGGGCGGTCGGCTGACAAGCTGGTAACGCGCAGTGTCGCTGCTACGGTCGCATACAGTACTGTCCCACAGTGCACTTTAGTGCTCTACGGTGGTCGCTGTCGGTCAAGGATTCATAGCCTGTAGCACGGCGATGCTGAGTAAGATTTAGTGTGATGACGGGCAGAGTGATCCCGAGTAGTGCCCCATGTGGCATGTTGCCGAGTGGTTTGACCTGCTTGTCAATGTAGAATGATCCGCAATTAGCATTGGCTGTCTTTTGGTGTGTAGTGGACCAAATACAGCCTGGCGCTAAACGAGCGCTTGAGTACATTGGTGTCCATTGTCATTGCCTAGTGGAGTTGGTAAGTTTAGTCGGGCAAGCTTCTAGACTTATTTTTAGTTTGAAGACGAAAGTAGGCGTTCGCACCGCTTCTGGCTCCTGAGATTAAGTAGAGCTGGAGACAGCGTCCATAGCACCCATAGCACCCATAGCATCCATAGCATCCATCCTCGATAGCTCCCATTCCCCGAGCCACACCGACCCGACAGACTCACCGTGACCAAGGCCCTCAACTGCTTGCAGACACGCACACCAGCACAATGTGCATCGTCAACGTCCTCGTTATCTTCCGACGAAGTGCTCCCACGGTAATCAGCGGATGCAAGACCGCAACGCCAGATCGCGACACGTATGGAGAGTGGGACTCGACGGCGCAGCAAGCAACTGCAGTACGGGTTATCAATCACAAACCTCGCCCGGAAAAGGCAGGTGGACGAGTTCGAGTCCCTTCGTCTGAGCCCGTGATCCTAAGCCCTGCAGAAACACGCTCGGTAGAGTGACGGTGGTGGGCTGGCCTTCAGGCGTAGATAGAGTACCGATCGGGATTGGTGCAAAGAGAAACATACAGGGCGTTACGACGAAGACAATATATCCATTCCTCGCGAAAGGCGCTACGACGTGAAGGGGCTCTTTGTGCATTCTTTCTTCCTCTGACACTCTCTGCCTTTGCTGTGCTCATGGCCCCTCTGTGAATCGTTCTCCGCTGCTCTCATGCATCTGCTCTTTCCTTGCGCGCCTCGAGCGGCGGCATCTGCCTACCAAGATCAAGCTGATGCGGAAGCAACTAGGCGGCAGATCCTCTCTGATGGCTTCCAGGCAGTGATCTAATTGGACTGGACTAGCACTGGACTGGATTTGGATGGACTGGATTTGGCTGGACTGGATCCGGAGTTTGAGAAATTTGGACTGGACTGGATCGAGAGGTCTGGAGGCTCCTGGAGCGCCAATGGACCATGCCTAATTAGGAAGCAACTTAACCTACTAAGGAAGAGTGAGTCACATCTTCGGCGTTCTTGCTTCAGGTACGCTTTACCCCAGAAGCGCGTTCTCAGAAGGAGTTCATCTAGTCCAATGACTTCCTAATAGCATTCAATAATGAATCTGGCAGGCCA